ACCCAGGCCCAGGCTTAGGCCCCACAGAAATCATATAACAATGCGAGTCAAAAGTCAGCTGGAAAACCAAAGATTCCAGATCCCCTCAGCATGTAATCCACGGATGGCTGCTCCTTTCGGCCAGGCTCATTAGCAAATTATTTTGGTAGTCGGGCAAATGCAGAGAAAGAAATGTGAATAAACATTAAGAGTATTAACTACTTTCCGCTTTCGGGGATTTATTGACATTTAAAATTTATTAAAAAGAGATTTAAGTTATATAAGCCACTTAACAATTAGAAATAATCACTTCTAAAGATTATCTTACACACCTTTTACTTTCTCATATAGAAAAATATAATGCATTATAATGAATGTTTCTTTGATCGACCTATAAAAATGTTTATTTTTTGAAAGTGAATATGAAAATGTCTCTGAAACGAGGCTAAAAGATAAATATCTCCAAGTACCAACAAACCCCAAAACAAGGTAGAATAATAAAAACAGCTATAACATTTTAATAAGCCATCATATTCCCTAGTATTTATTATTTTATGGCTTTTTCTCTGCGTGTGGGCCACGCTTCAATGGAGCTTGACTACCACCAATCCCGGACATTTGAATTTAAGCCAGAAGACAGACAAGGATTGTCCCTCTCGGATTAAATCACGAAATGTGTGCCTTCACCTGACTAAGTAACTCCTTAAGCGTTTTTTGCCATACGGCCGACGGTTGAGAGCATTTTAATTGTATTTAAATGAATTAGAATGCACTTTTGCGCTCAGTTTTATGATTCATAAATTATCCGCCGCGACGTTTATACTTACAGCTCTGTAAACATAATTGAGTACTGCAGATGGAGATCTCTGACAGAGACTACTCGCGGATGGAGATAGACAGGTATCTCAGCTGGAGATTATGTATGTAGATGTTTCGGCTTGAAACCGGGTAATGGGTTACAGACTCATTGCCGGCTGGAATGCAAATCATTGGGATAAGTCATAGACAAAGCTAGACTTATAAACTATAGTTAAAGTCATAAGTAGCTATATCAATTAATAATTGTTTTTGAATAAAAATGTAAATTAGGCATCTTAGATAGCTTATAAGCTATAAATAGCTCTAGAAGTGAAATAAAATATAATTATATTGCTCTATAATTAAGCTTTACGAACATTACTTCTTACAACTAGCATTTTTGACACCTCAATTACCAAAAACACAGGGTAATTAAAGCCAAGTTAAAGCAAGAACATGTATATTACCAGTTAATTGTGCTTTACGGCCGGTTGATTTACCAACTTGATGTTTTTAATGTTGCTTCAATAAATTAAGTTACCGGTACCCCTTCGGATTGTGTCAAGCGTGTGTGTTACATGTGTCTTAGCATTCCGATTTCGATGCCTCAATGGATCACAGAACACTAACCCACCCCCTGCCATTGGCCACAAATTATTGACCAACTCCAATTAAGTTGTACATATTATTGGTAATCCCATCCATCGGTTCCGTTCGAGCAGAGAGATCTCCGAAAATGGGAAGCATTCGAGTGGCTGCATAACAGTCGCCGCAGTCAGTAGCTGTGGTTCGCGGAATGGCATTTTAATTGTCACTTGGTGGATGGTAAATTACACATTATTTATTCGCAGTACTGCCATTAACATTTACCCTGTCATATGGTGCTCTTCGCAGCTTGGCGACTTTGCTGGATTGTGGTTACAACTACTTGATGGCGATACATTTTCCGAGTATCTTCGCCGTGTCACCGCAGGAGATTGTGCAATTTCATTGTCCAACGACAACATTTCATTAACAACAACTGGCTTTAGTACTGGTGTACTGGTAAAAACGTCAAAATACCGCCACAGAGTTGCCAATTAAGAGCTCCGCGTCCGCACTACACGAGTATATCAAAAGTATAAACTAAATGTTAAGGTTGACTCCGTCCGACTGTCTAATAAATTGATACACATAAAATTTGGAGCATAAAAATGTCGCTTTAAAAAACTACAGAAACCGAGAGGAGATCCAAAGCCTCGACTCCAATATGTGTGTTGCTGAAAAAATGCAAATGCCAAAATGTGAACTGCCATCATCATCGTCGTCCTCGTCGTCATGATCACCATTGATTTAAGTGGAGTTGCTGGCCAGAAACTGTTGCATTTCTGGCAGCGGCAAAAAGCACTTGAAATTCAAAGCTGAAAAAAAATATATAAAAACGTAGAAAAAAGCAACTGAAGTAACAACCATCAGATACTAATACAATAATAAATAGTAATAGAAGAAAAGAAGATGTTGCCACTGCGCTGATCGCATCGGCTGCCGCTGTTGCACTCGTTGCTGCATCAATGTTGCTGGTGCTGCTGCTGCTGCGGCTGTGCATGCAATGCAACAATTTCACAAGCCAGCACGCAGACAACTAAATGACAATGTGAACAAAATAACAACAACAGCGGAGAATTTATAATAGGTAGCAACCCCGATCAAAAGTTGCGCAAAAAAAAACAAAAACAGAAAAACAACCCAAGAGGCAAAATCCTCAACTTAATTATAAACTTATTTATTTGGTTAGCTTAAGTTTTGCCGCCAAACTGTCCTAATCAATTTGGCTAAGGATGAGGAAATGGCAGCTTGCGTCAGTCGGCAATTTCCACGGATTTCCTCAGCGCCAAATTTCACAGCTACCGTGTTAACTTTGACACCACCGACGCAAGCCCCCCAAAAGGCGAAACGTAGCCAAATCCAATCCGTACCGATCCTAGCCTGGCATTAGATTAGCATTAGGTAAGCGGGCTCAATTAACCCGCACGGCAATTGGCCAAATTGGCCACCGACTTGACTCCGTCCGTCAGCCGAAATCCGCGATTGGAGCTGCCGCCAGCAGGGGTTAACTCCGAGCTCCAAACACCAAGCACCAAATTCAACTCTAACTGTAGCTGCTGCCCACGCATGCGCTGAAATGTTAATGCCCGAATCAGCCAACACAGAAGGGCACAGTTGGCCAAGTGAGATTTGGAAGGAGAATATTAGTGGTAAAAAGGAAAAACTAAGGGAGTACATTTTCCTTGGGAAAATTAAGAGGAGAGGCACAACGAAGATAAAGGAACATCAAGCTGTGATTCATGATTTTCCTAGCGGTTTACCGGAAATTTTAATCTAGATTTATTATAAGATTATATTAATTTTAATTAATTTTATTAGGAATATATAATAATAATAAATAACAGTAACTTTGAACACAAATATATGACTATTTCCCTAAGTAAATTTATAAAAAGAATGTTTACATTTAATTATGGAATTGGAATTGTTTATATCTTGGCTTTCAAAGAAAATATTAATGTTGGTGAGCCTAGGAGAAAGAAGTGGCTCTCCTTTAAAATAGTTGAACAATATATCCAAGCCTGGTTGCCATAAAGCCGCTTTTTTATTATCTGTTTTTTTTTTTTTTTTGTACTGCCTCTGGTTGCAGTTTTATTTTTTCAAATTATTTCACTAAATAAATTATTTTATGCTAAAATCCCTATTCACTTTATCTAGTAGACCAAAATACTGTAATTACTTAAAAGTATCTTAAAGATTTATTTTTACTTGAACATTTCCTCCTTTCATTAGCCCCAATCCTATCACATTTTAGTCCCCTAAAACCCATCGCTGTTCCACTGTCCCTCCGGCAATTGTAAATGTCAAACGAAAGACTTAGGCAGCGAACTTGCTGGTAGGGGTGGAGCTCTAGTGTTAGCACTCGTATTCGTACTTGGGTTTTGGGCTTGGGCTTCGGCATATTAAATATGCAATGCTAATGCAAATGAAAATGGAAACGCAAATGGGAGTCCGCATCCGAATCGAAAACGCTTGTTAAAAGTAATGCGCCCAATTTGCAGTTGGAGAGACAAAAACAAAAGTGCCCTTTAGCCTTAACCAGCCCATGGCCGGCAGCTAGTGCAGTGCTCTCCTCTCCAGAGTCCGGAGACTGCAGCCGATCCTACGTTCCACCACCCTCGGTGAGGGCGGACGGGCAATTTAGTGTCACGTTAGCATTTTCGGGGCGCTTCCAGGCGGCAGGCAAATGCCCGACGTACCATTAGGCGAGCGCTTAACTAGCGGTTAGCCACCGACAGGGCCGTCAAATGTTCAATTGCCCCGCTTGGAAACGTTGTGGGTGCAGGCGGAGAAATATATATGAACTTAATAGAGGTTTAAATTAAATTAAATAATTTTAAATCAACCAAAGAGTTTTTAGAAACTGGAGAAATATATAGACAATTAGGATCATTTTTGTTATATATATGGAAAACATAATCTCTTTATTTCTATATATTTAATTTTTCTTTATTGTGTTTTGCTGGCTTTGGAGTATCGAAGCGGAGAAGCGGCAGCGCAGACAGACCTTTCTCTTTGTGTTGGTGATGGCTGGCCTGCCACGACGAGCCTCAAAGGTCGGCTTTGGCTCGGAACTCGGCTCTCGGATCTTGGATCTCGGCGGCGACGGCGCCGGCGACTACGACTAAGACTCAGACTACGCCGACTGCGACTCCGACTCCAGCCGAGTCTCGTCTCTCGGCCACGGGATTTATAAATACAAGTGTTGGCCGCACAACGCCAAAGATTCGTTGGCTGAACGTGCAGCGTGCGCGATCTATTAAATCCGAACCGAATTCGATTCCCAGTCCCAGTTCCAACCAAGACGAGGCTGCGACTCCTGGCCCAGACAGGAAAAGACGGTAACACTCTTCTCCAGACATCGTCGCATCCAATTTGAAACGCTACGAATTTCGCGCCAAAACACAATCCAAGGATTACGGGATACCAGCACCAATTCCACGACTTGGATTCAGTCTCAGTTTCAGTTACAGTTTCGGTTTCGCAATATGCAATTCGGTTTCAATGTTGGATTGTGTCGAATCTTCAATTCAATTATATAACTGAAGTAATAATCGCTTCGTGTGCTGTGTTCAGTTCAGTTGCAGTTCGCAGTTGGCAGCCGGCAATGCTCGATGCAGATGCAGCAGATGCGGCCATCGTAATCCCCACCGTCTGACAAGGAAAACGAACCTCTTGGCATCCCAGAGACTGGGAAAAACAAAAAAACAAATCACAAAAAAAAAAACAACCAAGTGACTGTGAAAGTAACTAACGAAGATACAGATTCAGATATTCAATTACTAGTCTCTTGGCGTTGCGTGTGCAGTGCCGCAACACGATGAGAATCCAAATCCTGCTCCTGACACTCTTGCTGGGTGAGTAGACAAGGGATCTTCCAAGGAAGTGTTTATTGTTTGTTAGTTTAAATTATCTTACAAAAATCTTTATTATAAGTTGTGTAGTTAAGGAAGAAGAAAGCCATTTTTTCTTTCTTTTTTTTTTTTGTAAGAAAAGTTTTAAAATGGTCAACATTATGTAGTGCCTTTTGTGTTCTCTAAATATTTTTTTTTCGTTACCTAAACTTTAATTTGTAAGGTTGATAAATAACCTAAGACATTTAAAATAATTCAAAAACATTTAAATTGTTAACTAAAAAGTAAAAATACCTATTGAGTATAAGTCCGTCTGAGAAAGGGTTCAAGGGTTTTGCACTTAAATTTGATTAACATTTTAGTTACATGGTTTCCTTCTGGATTTTTCCAAATTTTAAGTAATTAAATGAGTTTATTAGTAAATTAGAAAGTAAGTTAGTAAAAACGGCGTTTCAGAGGTTTACAACTCAATAAAGAAGTTATATCCGACCTTATAAATCATATGTTTTATTATTCAGAAGCAAAAGCCGAGTTACATTTTTTTGTTTAATTTTGAATTTTTATTCAATAATCAGCTTATTGTTCACCTAATATATACGGATACATAAAATCTTTTCGAGTTAAAATGAATGCATTTTTTTTACATAGTTACAATATTTCAATGATTTTATCCAAACAATTATCATAGAAAAATATCGATTTAAAGTCCCTATAATTCAATTAGTTTATGTATTTATATATATTTCGATTTTCCATTAAAATATTAGTTAACAACAAATATAAAATATATGGAAAAAAAATTAAACAAATTAAAAAAAATTTTGAAATTTTAAAAGGTTAATATGTTTGAAATTAAAACTAAATATTTATAATATTTTATCGACTAAAACTTAAAAAAAAAAAAATATATATCGTTCTAATAAATATTAATATTGAACAAAAACATTGAAATTTGTATTTGAAAATGAAACAAACAATTAAACAATAAATTACACACCCAAAATCCATAAATCTTGAACTTATTATGTATTGTATTGACACCAACATCCCCATGTGGAATCTCCCACACAGGCCTCGTCTGCGCCCAGGCTGTGAGTGCGGAGGCCAAGAGCGACAGCAGCGGAAGTCAGGCGGCGGCGGAGGACAGCAAGAGTTCCGCCTCCACGCCACTCGAGACGGAGGCGACCAAGGACAAGCGACAGGTGAGCGCCAAGGAGACGCCCCTCTATCCGAACCACCGCAGCTCGGAGGCAGCTCCCTCTGCCGGTGATGATCCCGAGGATGGGCAGGAGACAATCTACGGTTCCAAGCCCAACCAGTTCATCATTCGCCCCATTGCCCCGCACCAGCACCAGCAGCACGAGTCGCATCAGGAGCCGCAGCTGCGCAACTTTGCGGCGGCCAACTCTCGGCCACACGCTGCCCAGCTGCTCGAGCAGAGCCAGGAGGTGAGTTATGAGAGGAATAATGAAGGGGTGTGGGTTATAAATGATGGAACAAATTTATATACATTATGGTAATATCCTTTAATACATAAACAATTAAATTCGATTAAAACTAAATTGAGTCACACCCAAAATGCCCCTAAATTGTGGCAAGCTCAGAACTTATTTTCGGCCTTTGACAAAGCCTCGCCCTGGATCCTCCACCTGGGGAGTGGGTAAGCCCATTGATCGACTGTCCAACTGACGGATTGCCTTTCGCCTTTGAGGGATTGCAGCGTCTGTTTGTTTTGTGCCAATCTCGGGGCGTTCCATCGACATCGCGACTGTTGTTCGCTGTCTTGGGTCTTGTCTTGGCCCCGCGGCCATCAGACATCGGCCTTTCGGACGGACCTAGGCGAGATCAGACGACCCGGGATCGTGACTTGGCATCGGCGGCAGCCACACGATTCTTTGCAAAATGCCGGATGTAAACATCTTGAAGCCAGGCCAGACAAAAGCCAAAGGCCCCGCCGCGTCACAATCCCAATCCCAAAACGAAATCCCAGTTAAATTTTGACAAATTCTCCCTTTCGCCGAGGCCGGGAAACCTTGACCAATATCTCCCCGTTGGCCTGACGGTTTATTTTTCGGAACGAATTGCAATTTGCAGACAAAGGCAATTGCAATTAGCCAAAGACAATGTTTATATTACAAAATAAATACATATATATGTATATGTATAAAAGGAAAAACAAATTAAAAGCACCGGCGAATATAATAATGATAATACTTTTATTATAAATGCAATCGGCAAAACTAAGTCACGACATGACAGCCTCGACGACAGCAACAAATGCATAATTGCAAAATGATTATTTGTCTTATTACGCGTCAAATGACAACAACATTTTCCACCACCTCCCTTTCCACTCGATTTTCCACCATTGGCTTCTTCATTCATGTCTCGGGGTCTCTCCTTCAAAATGCAAAGACATCGCCATGGAAAACAATGGTCGGTGTCGGGCTGTCGTGGGAAGAAAGTTGACATAATGTTATAATCACCCCACTTTTGGTCTGTCAGCTTTGTGTCTCTCCGTCTGTCGCTCGATGGCGCCTTGACTTGCTGGCGGCTTTATTTGCCATAATAATGGGAACCCATAGATGCCACCACACTGGCCAACAGGTTTTGAGAAGAATTCAAGGAGGGTATCACATTTTTTCGGTACAAGGCTGGCCAATATAAGGGACCTTCAAACTTAAATTTTATTGTTTTATTCAAGATTTTAAACATAGGTTTTTATTCATTTTAAATATAATTTTATTTATATATAATTTTTCAAGCTTAAGCTATGCTCCTCCTAAATAATCAATGGTTCTATCTTAAATATTGTTCTGTATAAATTATAGAAAATATTTAGTCCTTCTAACTGTGGCTTTACTTCACCCGAATATATTATAAACTTACTATATATCGGCATTTCCATTGATCTCTTTAGGCTCTCTAGGCCCACACACAAGGAGATTCCCTTTATTGGCTAACCCTTGTTGCATAGTGTAATGTTTTTTTATGTGTTGCAACATCGAAGAGCCAAAGACTTGGTTGTTTGATGTTGTTGGCGTTGCCAAAGTTTGCCACAAGTGTTATATAAACTCATTTTTTAGATGCCACGCCATTCTCACAGCGTCCGCTGCTGCTGCTTTGAAGCACCTGCAACAAGTGGCGGTCGTTGTGGTTTCTGCCAGTTACTAGGTGGTGGCAGGGGGCAGTATCGGTGGAGTGGCTCCACATTAAACAGCTGCTGACATTGGCCGACGGCGGCTGAGTTCCCACACCTACCGTCACCGTCACCTCCGCCCACAGAAAACATTATTAGTAGTCGCCCCCTCTCACTTTTCGTACTCGTATCCGTATCTGCTAGGTGCAGCACTATGTTTATCTGCAAGATATCATGCGCCATCACCAGCCCAAGGCCCTTGTGGCCTCAGGTCAAGGCAAGGGTGCGGCCAGTGCGCCCAAAAAGTCGTCCACTCCCGTAGCCGAAGAGGAGCAGGAACAAGAGCAGGAGGCCGAGCAACGCTACACGGTGTCCATTCAACCTCAGCCTCAGCATCACCAGCCTCGCCCACGTCAGTATCAGGGAGTGGGAGGTCCATACCAGTTGCCATTGCCGTTGCCAGCTCCCCAGCATCAGTCTTTGAGTCCCCAGCAGCAGCAGCAGCAGCAGCAATCACAGCAGGTACTTCTTTACCTATAAAGATTCGTGGGGAAGATAATTAACATCTCCACAATTGCAGCCCTATCAGGTCATTCCCGAAGAGCAGTTCCTGAAACTTCTGGAGGAGGAGCTGCAGGCAAGAGCCTACCATGAACAGCTGCGACAGCAGCAACAGCATCACCAGCAGCAGCAGCACGTGCAGCCTCAACCTCAACCCAAGCCTCTGCCCATTCACAGCACAGCTGCCACTCACAAGGTCCTGCAGCAGGCGGATCCTGCCCTGGGATTGGGTGGCTATCGGGAGCGATTGGTGGCTGAGCAAGAGCTGGTCTCGCCCGCGTACTCTCATCCCAGAGGAGGACCCAAGTACCTGCCGCTGCCTCAGGCTCAGCAGATTCAGGAGGACGATGAACCACAACAGCAGCCACAGCGCGTGCAACTCCATAAGCCAGTACCGCATCCGGGACAGCAGCAGTTCCACGGCCTGCCGCCACAGATTGCCTACTACCAGCCACAGATCAGCTACAAGACCCTGCCCAATCATCCGCTGGCCAAGTCCTCGCTGGAGAGCGAGATCGAGAAACTGCTGGCCGCCAATAAGCCGGGACCGGGTCTGGCCTACGTGGACAGCAGCAATGAGCAGGTGTCCATTCGCCAGCCTCCGCCTCAACATCCACCACCGCCCACCTCGCATCCGGCTTTGAGGCAGCCCAAGGCCTACCTAGCCAGCACTCCCAACTCCCTGCTGGACGCGAATAACCAACCATTCGTGCCTTCCCTTTTCAAGTTTAGCAGCTTCCAGCAGCCGACTCCCATTTATCCCACGCCCGAGCCCAAGAGATTGGGACCTGTTGTCTATCCCACTCAGCATCAGGCCAATCAGCCGCAGCCATCGCAGTATTACTACCAGGAGGCAGCGCCCACGGCAGCTCCCAAGCCGAGTCCCATTCCCAAGCAGTATCACAGGTCCAAGCACTACAAGTTACCTTCGCCCACGAAGGCTCTGCTGTATGCCGATTATGAGCGTCAGGGACCGTCTCCGCCGCCGCCATCCAACTTCTATCCCAGTCCCCCGGATCCGTTGAAGCATGCCCAGAGAAATCTGGCGGTCACACCCACTGCTCTACCACTCCACGCCGAATATCCATCCCCGTCGCCCTCACAATCTAGTATATATGTGTCCCAGGGAACGGGTATTGCCACGCCGTCCAGAGCCACGCCAACTACGGCTCCGGTACAGAAGCTGCGTACCCTGGATGAGGTCAAGCAGCTAAATCTGCCGCCTCCCAACGGTAAGCCCCTAACCCAGGCCGAGTTCCAGGCTCTTGTGGATGCTGGTTATCCGGTAAAGGCTGTGCCTGTGCCCGTGCCCGTCCCATATGAGCAGTACGTGAAGGATCATCCGGAGTATCGCAACCATCCGCCAGTTGACTATGCCCACATTATGCGCTTGGCCACACGCCAATTGTCCGCCCATCAGCAGCACAGATCGCTGGCCGCTCCTTCGGAGCCGTCGGTCAAGATTCTGTCCACTCCCTCCGCCGGCGAACTGCAGCAGCAGCAGACGGCCACGGGCATTGGCGGCGGCAGTGTCACATATTTGCAGCCCATCGAGGGTCAGTCGCATCCCCATGCCCACGCCCATATCCATACGTTGCAGAAGCGAAGACCACGGGATGAGCAGGACACCGCAGTGGCGGGCAGCGAGCCCAAGGCGGCGGCTCCCGAGGCCAGCGAGCAGTCCGCGAAGGAGAAGGTGCAGTGAGTGAGAGCAGGTCCTGTTTTAGTTAAAATGTCCTTGCCTAGTTTCTAAGTATTGTAAAAATGTTTCAGCACTTGCGTATAATGTTAAATTATAAACCAACAAAAATAAAAATATGAAAAACTAACAAAGGAAGTGGGAGAGTTGCTAATCAATGGGAAGTATCCTTTGGATGATATATACTTGGATTTTTTCCTTCATAAACACCTCAAAGAAAAATCCACATTTAAAACTTAGTTCAGCTTTATTTTATGCCACCCTTTCCCCCTTGTCATTCGTCCTTTCTCAATCGGAACCCTCACTTAGTTCAGGCCGAAGGGCGAATTGCTGTGGCTATTGCTGCTGTCCGCCGAGCTGAGCGTGTCCGGAGTGGGCGCCTCGCGTGCCTGTATTCGCGAGATCTGCGGATCGCGCTTCTCCTTATCCTTGCGTTCGCGCTCCTTGTCCTTATCCTTGTTGTGCTTATGCTTGTGTTTGTGTTTGTGCTTCTTCTTGTCCTTCTTTTTCTTCTTCTTCTGAAGCCCGTCGCCGGACTTGAACTTGCTCTCGTCGTAGCTGCTTTCGTATCGCGTGGAGTCAGCCACGTCGAGCATCATGGATGAGTTATCGTCTTCGGCATAGATCTCGGTCTTCATCCGCTTCGTGTGCTGATGCGACTCGGGAGCTTCTTCATCTGCCGGATGGATCTTCACTTTGGTCTCGCTATCGTAGGCCTCGACGTTAACGGGATCATCCATGACGGTGATCTCCTCACTGCGCTCCAGCTTGATGATCTCATCACCCACCTCAAAGGCCTCCGTGGCCGTGCGCTTGATGGTGACCATGCCGGGCTTATGCCGCTCGTGGGGCTCACTGTCCAGGCTATCGGCTAGCGCTGGCTTCACGTCGTGGCTTTTCTTGAAGCTGCCTGAACCAGCACTGCTGCTATTATCCTTCATCAGATCCTTGTAAAAGTTCGTATTCTCGCTGGCCTGCAAGCAATTCGGACGCTTGTTGCCGTACAAGGCATAGTACAGATCCACAATGTCGCAGCGCAACTTGGTGTCGTTGCCTAGAGTGTTGATGCTCCGCCACAGGCGATCCACGAGGTTCGCCTTGTCCAAACGGCTTCGAGACTCGCGGGTAAACGGCGGGTTGTCGATTAGCAGCTGGGCCAAGGCATGGCGTGCAGCAGGATCGGGATCTGTCTCCAGCAGCGTTACCAAGTGCTCCAGGTCCTCGCTGCGCCCATCCACCTTCACAAAGTCGACAAGACATTCCATAGCTGCAATGCGGAGATCCAGAAAAATTCCATATTGCGAATAGCTGCGGTAAATGTGCGGCAGCGAGGGCAGGTGACCGAACTTTTGCAGCTTACGGATAACCTTCAGGCAGGACACGGAAACCATGTACTTGTACGAGGGCAGGTGCTTCTCCATGTTCAGCAAACGAGTCACTTCATCCAGGACCAGTCTGTGGAGGGGAAGGGGAAATGTGAATTAATCAGGAATCTTAGTTTCTTTTCCTTAAAATACTTACTTGGCATCCGTGGAAAGACTGTCTGTGGTGATTTGAGTGCCATGCATCGCCACTGACACTACTGGCGTCAAAGTCTCGCCCAGGGCTTCCACCAAAGCAGCTCGGTAGTAGGCATCCGTGTAATGGTTGCGCGAGTTCTCGTTATACTTGAAGAGATCGAAGAGGAAGCGCATCACTTCCGGCGGACAAATGCCGTGCGACGTTCGCAGACCTAAAAATTCAAGCAAACATATTAGATTTCAGCTTCTTTAACGTAAAGACTTCTGTAGATCCCCTCACCTGCCATGGCCACGGGTATTGCCTTTTGCAGGAAATACAACTGAAAGTTGGAGAAATTGTTCAGCTTGATGATGTGCGGCGCACTAAAGGAGCCGAAAAACTTTCTAAATATATTCAGCATGGCTGGTGGACCGCTCCAGGAGGCCACCATCTGGTTGGCCACCTTGGTGAGGCTGTGGGCCGCCTCACAGCGCACCTTGTAAAAGCAGCGCTCGCTCTCGATAGTGTCGGTTAAGGCATGCCTGGTGGCATTCGTCGGGTACTTTTGCAGAGCCTGAATGGCCTGGAACTGGGCAGTGACATCGCGCTCATGACGAAGCTGGTACTGCCACTGGAAATCCGGTTGCTCAATGATCAGGTCACGCAGCAGAATCATCTCCGGATCGAGGCGTATCCAGAGCACAGGTGAGTCGCTGGAAAAGAGGTATGTTAAACCCTAATCTATGAAGAATTCGATGAAGAACTCACTCCATGGCTGACAGATCCATGTCCACCTCTTCACCCGTGCATAGGGGGATCTTTTTCTTCTTGTTACGCCTGCTCTTCGAGTGGCAGGTGATGTCCGCCTTCACCAGCGTATTCTCAATCTGCAAAGTGTGCTTAAAGGTGCCATCCAACTCCTGCAGCTGCACCAGCAACGGACCATTGTATTTCCTCACGCCCCGCTGATTGACAAAGTCCTGGCGGATCTCCAGCTCTATGGTGTTCCTCTTGCGGTTGAACACCGAGGTGAGGGAGAACTTGGCGTGACCACCCGTTCGCACCCACTGATCCATGAACACCGACATATCCTTGCCGGTGACTGTGAATATTGCCTTGATGAAGATATTCGTCGAGATGAGCAACTGCGACCACAGTCCAGCGCCTATCTTGGTAGCCGCCGCATTGGTGGCCAGGGCCAGCTGTTTGTTGAACACCTGGATGAGCAGCTCTTGGCCGATGCGGTGCTCCAACATGCGAATTACAAAATGCGCCTTCCGCCGCATAGCTTCCACGTACTTGGGCGACACCGTGTGCAAGCTCTTGATGGGGAAATAGTGGACAATCTCCTGCTGCTTGCTGGCAGCCGCTGCTGGGTTGGTACTGGAGACAGGCAGCGGAGCCGGAGGCTGGCTGCAGTCGAGGATGATGCCACCGTACTGCTCCTCGTAGCGCACCACCCGGGCCAGTTCCGATTGAACCCACTCACGGTACTCGTTGTTGCCAAAGCACTTTCTCGAATACAGACCGCACAGATACTCCGCGATGCCCTTGGCCAGCCAGGTGTCCGACCAGTGGTGCGACGTGATGAAGCAGCCAAAGAACTGCTCGGCCACCGCCCGCGACATAAAGGTGCGCGACACATACGTCTGATCGATGATGGCGATAGAGTGCAGCAGGTTCACCGAAACGATGCTCATCGTCGCGTAGGCACTGATGTCCGTGTCCAGCTCATCTACAAACACCTGTTTGTAGCAGGAGAAGGGGTAGCGCGTGGAGAGGGTCTCCTCGAAGAACTCGAAGGCTTCATGCAGATAGCGAACGGTGTTCTTCAACAGTGGCAGCATCCCCGGCAGGCAGAAGTGGGTCACCTCGTGCATGTGCGGATCCACGTAGATCTCGAATTGACCCACTGCAAGCGCGATGTTGGGTGCGCACACGGGCGTGCTCACCGTGTAGTGAAAGGTCTTCCTTCGCAGGTCGGGCGTCATGATAACTTCCACCAGTTCGCCGCAGGAGACTGCAGTCAGGTTCTTATCCACCGTGAACTCCAGCCGCCAGGTGCAGGGATCTGCGAAGCTGTCCACGCAGGGGAACCACAAGCGTGTGGAGTTCTCGTAGCAATTGGTAAACATGTGCGAGCAGTTCATCTGTGTGTCCTCATCCGTAGAAGCAGGCGGAATGACGAAATGCACGCCGCTCTTGGGATCCTCCAGCGAAAACTCGATGCGAATGCGCAGACCCTGGCCTTCCTGGATCATTGAATACCCCTCCGGCGGCACGGTGATGAACAGCTCGCCATTGTTCGCATCCGGATCGGTCACCTGGGCGGCCTTCAGGTGATATTTGGAGTAAACATCCAGGGAGCGGCTCTTTGGCTCCTTGTGGGTTATGTCCTGGAAGGGATCGAAGTACACGAATGATGCCTGGCAGACGTCATTCAGAAGGACACTGTAGATCCGCATCTGCTTGGCATTCAGCCGGATGAGCCGCAGGTTCTCGCTGTTCGGCACGATAGTTAGCTCTACTACGCCCTAAAACAGATTATAATGATAGAATTCCGAATATTTTCATATATGTATCTTTGGCCTGTACTTACGATAATGCTCTTCCTCTCGAAACTGATGCCCGTGAGGCTCACAACCTGATGCGCCGTGCTGGTGGAAATGAAAAATCGTTAATGTGGGGCTTCTTCAAGAGACAGAGGAATACTTATAATTTAAACGGTCGCGGCGGCACCTCCGGCTCCTCAGGTAGCGTTTCCATCGCTCAATAGCCGGAAATTCTGCAGGATTTTACAAAGTTTCGCGTTTGTTATCAAAAATCCAGAGCATTGTTTGACTTCTTCTTCTTTTCGTATATGCCGACGTGCTAAAAAATACCAAACGCCTTGTGACAGCAATGGTAACTCTGGCGAGATAGTGCAGCCCTGCCCACGTAGCTTAACCTTTATGCTGTCACAGGGGGTTAATGTTGACTTACAAGTTGCTAATAAACAATTAATGATCAATTAATTAATCAACTTAATTAATTTAATTATCAATCACTAACTATTTTATGAAAAATATATGATTTATTTCGAGCTTGTACAAATATTTTTTATATTTTTCTTTGTATAAAATTATAATAATTAAATTTGTAAAATTATTGAAAAGCATATATAGATTGTATTAGCTATTTTATTTATTTATTTATAAACGATAAATATATGGAAATTAAAATATTCCCTATTTTTAAGTTCTTTGTGATGAAATTACAACAATACAAATGTTCGCTCCATATGCAGGGCACTTGAAACATGCCGCACAAGGGTTAAAGATTATGAATCATTTACCGAGAAAGTTAAATTTGGATTCTTCTCCCATTTAAAGCGTTCAGTTCCCAGCGAGTCAGCAGTTTTAGCACGGCAGCGAGTTGTTTAACATCTGGATACACCTAGTTTGTAGTTTTTTCCCCATCTGCAGCGCCATTTAACCGAGGAAGTGGGAATTCCAGGCCAGAGCGGACAAAACCCAGTGAAAATGTACGGCATTGATAATTACCCCAAGAATTATCATGCGAGTGGCATTGGCCTTGTCAATTTAGCGGCCTTGGGATACAGCAAGAATGAAGTAAGCGGCGGCGGCGGAGGAGGCAGCGATGGGGGCGCCAAGCCAAAGGCAGGGCTCTACCCCTCGCTCCCGTACCCATCGTCCGAGTCCGTGGGAGGCATGCCGTATGTGGTGAAGCAGACGAGTCACGCACAGAATGCCTCGTACCCGGGCCCTGGAATGGGCATGGGTATGGGAATGCCGCAGCCGGGAGCAGCACCATCGGCGCCCTATCCCAGTGCCACGCCATATCCCGGCGCTGGTCTCTACCCGAGTCTGCCATCTGCCCAGTCGTCTCTGCCCTATCCATCGGCTCCGCTGGCGCCTTACCCAACAGGAATACCCTATCCCGGTGGCATGCCGCAGCCCAATCTTCCGTATCCGGCTGCTCCACTGGCTCCATATCCGAATGCCATGCCCGGATTCCCCAGCATGCCGATGCCGTACGCCCCGATGCCCACCAGTCCGGCACCGCCGCAGCAGGGAGGCGGTTTTCCGGCTCTGCCGTACCCCTCGGCTCCGCCACCGGCCAGTGCACCCACACCGGAGGAGGAGCCCTCCGTGGGCGTAGCCGAGCTGAGCTTTACCAGTGTCAAGGTGCCGGAGAACCAGAACATGTTCTGGATGGGTCGCAAGGCCACCAGCAACCGGCAGACAAGTGTTCACGGAACCGACTTTGCCACCCTCCGGGAATCATGCGTGTCCAATGGAACCATGTTCGAGGATCCCGACTTCCCGGCGACCAATGCCTCGCTGATGTACTCGCGACGACCAGATCGCTACTACGAGTGGCTGCGTCCGGGCGATATCGTGGATGATCCGCAGTTCTTTGTCGAGGGCTACTCCCGGTTCGATGTCCAGCAGGGCGAGCTGGGTGACTGCTGGCTCCTGGCGGCAGCCGCCAATCTTACGCAGGACTCGAAGCTGTTCTTCCGCGTGATTCCGCCAGATCAGGACTTCCAGGAGAACTATGCCGGCATCTTCCACTTCAAGTTCTGGCAGTATGGAAAGTGGGTGGAGGTGGTAATCGACGACCGTCTGCCCACCTATAACGGTGAGCTCATCTACATGCACTCTACCGAGAAGAACGAGTTCTGGAGCGCCCTGCTGGAGAAGGCCTACGCCAAGCTGCATGGATCCTATGAAGCTCTCAAGGGTAAGGAATCATAAGACTTTCTAGCTCTTCGGGATTATAATATAACAATTACTAGGTGGCACCACCTGCGAGGCCATGGAGGACTTTACCGGCGGCGTTACCGAGTGGTACGACATCAAGGAGGCTCCTCCAAATCTATTCAGCATCATGATGAAGGCCGCCGAGCGTGGCTCAATGATGGGCTGCTCCCTGGAGCCAGATCCACATGTGCTGGAGGCAGAGACGCCCCAGGGCTTGATCCGCGGTCATGCCTACTCCATCACCAAGGTGTGCCTGATGGACATCTCGACACCGAATCGGCAGGGCAAGCTGCCCATGATCCGAATGCGAAATCCCTGGGGCAACGACGCCGAATGGAGCGGTCCGTGGAGCGATAGTTCGCCCGAGTGGCGTTTCATACCGGAGCACACGAAGGAGGAGATTGGCCTGAATTTCGATCGGGATGGAGAGTTCTGGATGTCCTTTCAGGACTTCCTCAACCACTTTGATCGCGTGGAGATCTGCAACTTATCGCCGGATTCGCTGACCGAGGACCAGCAGCAGAGCTCACGCCGCAAGTGGGAGATGTCCATGTTCGAGGGCGAATGGACTTCCGGTGTTACGGCCGGCGGTTGTCGTAACTTCCTGGAGACCTTCTGGCACAACCCACAGTATATTATCTCCCTGGAAGACCCAGACGATGAGGACGATGATGGCAAGTGCACTGCCATTGTGGCCCTGATGCAGAAGAACCGGAGGAGCAAACGCAATGTGGGCATCGACTGTCTGACCATCGGGTTTGCCATATATCATTTGACCGACAGGGACATGCAGGTGAAGCCGCAGGGACTGAACTTCTTCAAGTATCGCGCTTCGGTGGCACGCTCCCCGCACTTCATCAACACGCGAGAGGTGTGCGCTCGTTTCAAGTTGCCGCCTGGGCATTATCTCATCGTTCCCTCGACTTTCGACCCCAACGAAGAGGGTGAGTTCATCATTCGTGTCTTCTCGGAGACGATGAACAACATGGAGGAGAACGACGACGAGGTGGGCTTCGGCGAGACAGATGACCGCATTGCTCCGGCCCTGCCGCCGCCGACTCCAAAGGAGGAGGACGATCCGCAGCGCATTGCCCTGCGTCGCCTGTTCGACAGTGTGGCCGGCAGCGACGAGGAGGTGGACTGGCAGGAGCTGAAACGTATTCTGGACCACTCCATGCGAGACGTCATGGTGGGCGGCGAGGGCTTCTCCAAGGATGCCGTCCGTTCGATGGTAGCCATGCTGGACAAGGATCGCTCCGGTCGCCTGGGCTTCGATGAGTTCGAGGCCCTGCTTACCGATATTGCCAAGTGGCGGGCGGTGTTCAAGTTGTACGACACTCGTCGCACTGGCAGCATCGATGGCTTCCATCTGCGCGGAGCCCTCAATTCGGCTGGCTACCATCTGAACAACAAGCTCCTGAATGCCCTGGCCCATCGCTATGGCTCGCGGGAGGGTCAGATACCCTTCGACGACTTCCTGATGTGTGCCATCAAGGTGAGGACATTCATCGAGATGTTCCGCGAAAAGGACACGGACAACTCGGACACGGCCTTCTTCAACCTGGACGATTGGCTGGAGCGGACCATTTACTCGTAAATCATCCTTAATTGATACTAATCTAATCCTAAGTGCCACGCATACTTAAATCTACAAAGTGCAATCATGAAAGAGCAGAGCCATGACCAAGATCGGGGAAGAGAGATCCACTCACTGAGCCAACAAGAGAATCTTATCGTTTTACGAAAGACGGAAATACACAGAATCACAGCCGAGTGGCGAAATTGAAGTGGCCTTGGCATGAGGCACGAGGTGGCGATTCACGATAAACACGATATAAAACCAGAGTACACAACACACTGAGATATATACACTATATGTGCGGCGTTTGCTGGAGGGATGACTAAGAACCGAGCATCCATTAAAAGCTATCTATGTGTACCTCGCCAAGAGCAGGAAATTGCCAGTACAAACTGAAAAGTGCATTACTCTACCTTAGATTTTCTACTCGCCACTCGAAGCAGCCATCAATTACGCATTAATGTCATTTACTAGAGATATTACTATGCATATATATTTTTGTAATAGCGCAGTATATCGTATATGTTTGCCCAGGTGCTTGCACTAATGCCAATCAAAAGCTCTGCTTTGTCCAACAAAAGTTGTTAAAGTTGTCAGGGAAAAAACCAATACAAACAGATCCAATCTTTTATCGAATAATTATATCAAATTAGGCAAATATCCAGTACATTTTCCCCCCTTTTATTTATATGTATAAAGTAATCTCAACAAATAATCCCAGCAAGATCAAAATTAACTACAAATAATCTATATTGGTAAGAGGCTTTTTCTTTCAGATATACATGTACGTTGTGAACTAATCAAAATTATTATTCTTTATATGTAATTGTTACTGTCTAAAATTTAATTGTTTTATGCATACATTTTTTTATGTAAATAAATAAAACTGCAGTTTTGCACGATAATATCAACTACTTGACTGCCACCAAGCCGGTGTCGCCAGATGGAACTCCAGCGTCGAGCATCGTCTGCTTCATTTCATCCAGTCCAAGGTCGTTATCTAAGGCCAATTGCTGCAAGACCTCCAGAAAATCTTCGTACTCCAAGCGCCATTTCCTATGGAGGGATTTGGAATTGATATAGGGATATATGTATACCCTGCAGTACCAGTCAACAGTAATAGATCAATGTCGAGACGAGAAAATCGATTTTGACAAGATTTTCGAATGAAACGTTGATGACAGTGGCCTCTACGATTGATGCTGTGTGGTACTGCAGGGTATTTTTAGTTCCTTACTTGTAACGCATGTAGATGAGACCCGTTTGAGTGCGTGTAATGGGATTCGGCATGAGCTTGGCCTGCTCCAGCCAGGCATCTAGTTGGGAGAGCAGGATGCCATCGAAAACCTCGTTCTCGATCTCCGTGGGTATTACCTAGAGCGATGCGATTGGAAATATTTATACATTTTCCATCCGAGCGATGCGTCATACCTGGTGGTTGGCATACACCGCGAATAGAGTGTCCAAGGTGTGCTTCTTTGGTTTATCATCATCATCGGCCATGACCTCTCAGGAAACTATGATTTTCAGTAAATAAATAATGTTCTCAAAAATAATAGCAGCGTTTGCCAGACAGATAAAGAAAAGTATTCAATGTACATATGTATTTAAATTTGTTTTGTTGATAAACAAAGACCCAGTTGAATGCTACATATATACTCTATGGAATATAGACGACTGTTGCTATGGCACAGCCGGGTTTTTTTGTTGTTTATTATGGAAGCTCTTGACAACGCTGCGGACATACATCAGCGACTTGCTCGTCTTCCCCTCGACGTTCTCCACGGCGTAAGGTGGTTTTATGGTCACCTCATGCATCACTTCTATAGACACATTGTCGCCCTGCTCCTGCCACATAACCAGGTGGTTGCCAAAGTGCTTGACCAGCACACGATACAGAGCTTGGCCAAAAGGTGAGGCGTTGAGGTGGTAGCTTCGGCAGTAAGCAGAACGCATATCGATGGCATGGCGCAATCGCTCTTGAAGCTGCAAAGGCAAGGATATGGTACCTTCTTTCAAGAGACAAACAAAAACTTACCATCTGCAGATCAAGCCGTTCGGGACATGGGGGAACCTCATCCAAAGGAAGCAGCACCTCCTTGATAATCTCAATGTCTATGCACATGGAGAGATTCACAATGGTCAGCTTGCTCTTGGCCTGCTCATCGCCACCGCCTTTGCTGGCCGAGCAGCGCAACATCAGCATTTTGACACCCAGATCAAAGGCCACCACCTGGGGGGATTCAATTGATAAATTAATTAAATATAGCTAGCGATACACCTCACTTCTCCGGAGAATATCTCCTCAAAACAGGTCTTGCAGCGCACTATTGAACCCAGCGTAAAACATGGAATCAGGGACATCTTTACTGCTCCACAGGCTGAGGAAAATACATTTGTATGCTTCAAATTGGTTTGACGGTCGGTAACTAAAAATTCAGATGTATACTTCAAGGCACTCTTTGACTTGATTATTTATCCTACGGCAGGATTCCTAGGAGTGTTGGTGAGCAGGTTCACGATGCTCTTTTCGCCAGCGATTTGTCCTAGGTCTTTGCTCGGTTTTAAAAATTGGCTTCAAACAGGACGCAAAAATGGTTTGATAATCTTTGGAGATTGCCAAAACAAATCAGTATTTTGACTAACGCCGTTTCTATGACACAGGTCGGTCTCTTTTCGGAATCAAGAACTGGAATATATTATACTTTTACGATAGACTTGGTTGCTCTGAACTCAAATCCGATATCAGTTTTTCAAAATATTTGAGCTAAAGAGTACCGGTTTGGGTAACTTTTAAGGTTCTGTTGCTAATAATAATCGTTACGACATCCTAAATAACTTTTTTTCGGCTTAAAACTCAGTTTTTAAAATTTGGAAAAATGATTATTGGTCTCAGAAATATTATCTCTTCCCTAAGTTTAAAAAATTTGATTTTAAAGTGCAAGAACATTACTTTATGACAACGTAATGATAGAATTAAAAAAAATAAATCCTATTGAACTTACAGCACCATATTTCTGACACTTTTAAGATTAGAAATACCTAAAAAAAACCTAATGTATAGGAAATTTTCTGAAGCAGGAGATCCCAGGTGTGCTCAAATAATCACAATCAAAAGACAGCGGCTGTGGTTTTATTTCATTTTATTTACAGTGTATGTATGCTAATTTATAATGTACTAAATATAAATGTTGTATATATATATTTCAAAAGTAAACCGTTCCTTTTAATCATACATATACATATATATATATATATTGAATTTCGCAGTTTAGCAGTTGCTGTCTAAATTGTTGTTTCTGCATGAGCGTTGCTTGTGGTTGTTGTTGTTGTTCTTTGTTCTTCAAGAAGTGTTTGTTGCTTTGTTTTTATTTTCATTATAATTATGTATGTATGTATGTGGTATATATGCGCGTATGTATGTATGTACCTTCATTAGCACTTTTAGCATATGTGTATATACCCTTCGAAAATCATCGCTAGACACACGCCTTAAACAAAACTAAAACCGCTTGCTTTCCTATGAGAAGTGAGTGCATTTTTGGATAAATTCTTAGCAGAAAGGTGGCAAACACAAAATCGAATACACGTGTGGTGAATAAATACCGAAGAAATATGATGTAGTTGCAGGGGGACAGGCACAAACGGAAAACGAACATCGTCGGCGGACACTTGAACACAAAACAACTGTACAATTCTTAAAATGGAGGAGCCGATCCTAATCCTGATTCTAGGTTCCTATGGTTCTATGACGGGGAGGGTGCCAGTGCAAATATTGATCGGTCGCTGGTCTAATACCTAATGACTACAGCTCTCTGTGTTTCTCTCTTTTAGCACTTTACTCTATTTTTTTTTTTTTTTTTTGATTGGCTTTTGTTTTCAGTATTTGTGTTTAGTTAGTTACGGCCTTAACATCCTAATTATGCTTTTCAAAATCACTTTAAACGAGGGCGCTGCATCCTATTCATAATTTAGCTAGGTTTTCGGAAAGTATTAATTAGCTTTTCGCACTTTGCTTTTGCTTGGGTTTCGCGGAAAAGTCGAGTTCAGTGTTCCGTCTGCTATTGGCTGCTTGTGTTTAGTTTTACGGGTTACATTTAATATCAAAAGGAATGATATATATGCATAATATATATATATAAAAATAAAACAATGCACTTCCTTTGCTGCTGCAGCTGCTGCTGGCCCCGTGCTCTCTCTAGCTTTACATGGGCCCATCTATGGCGCTCACTTTAAGGCGGAAATAGTAGGCGGATCGGGCCAACATGCAGCCGGCAATCACGAACAGCGCCACATAGAGGAAGTACATGCCACCGTGTTCCTTAAAAAAAGAATATTAAAAAAGAATTACCAAAATAACAAGACAGCTTTTTAAAACAAGACTTACAGAGGCATACGAGATTGTGCCAATGGTTACGCCGATGCCCGTAATGAGGAACACCAAAGCCACTATGGCGAACATCACGGCGCGGCTATTGGCGAATCGCGAGCCCACCGACGAGACCTTCCTGCAGTGTGGACAGCGGGCCAAAGCGTTGTGATAGGTGTTGAACTGCAAGGACAAGCTGGATAATGCTATTTCAAGATTACAAGCGAGAGATTGCTCACCAAAAACGTATCCGAACAGTGGCCGCAGGTGACGCGGCACATGCCCGGCATGGTGGGCACGGGCGGGGTGACGGGACTTGGGGCCAGGTTGATGATCCGCTTGCAATTGGGCCTCGGGCAAGCGATGCGCTGCGACGAGCTCTTGCAGATCAGCAAACAGTTGCAAGGGCAGCGAACATACTTCTTGCCCGGCGGAGCGTTCCGAATGGGCTGTGGATTAAGGAGTTCATGAGAGGTGTTCCATAGTAGTTTCTAGGCTTTCACTCACAGTAGCCTCATTGCAGTGGGTGCACTTGACCACGTGCTGCTCCCGCTTCGTGGTTATGTCAATCATGTGCTGACACACCCGACAGGTGACCATTGGCACGCCTCCGGTATTGGTGCTCTGCTGATACGGCGGCGGCAGCTCATCGGGTCCAATGCAAGGCACCGCCGTTGGTGCTCCATTACCTGAAATTTCGCAAAACATATCGGTTGAACGAAAGGTTTAGCTAAACGTTTTCCCTTTAAAACCTAGACCTTTGGTGTAAAATAAATACATCTTTTCAGCAGAGGGCCCTCAGCCACACTACTCTGTCGCCATGGCCTGTGTCTCGATGAGATTGCCTCGCAGAGAGAGAGAGAGTGAGAACTGTGCATCTTCTGATACGAAGCGAAGCAGCGATAAAACCAAATGGGTCAATGTTTTGGCTCTATGAATGCAGGGCTCCTGTCTTCTTCGCTGTAAACTAGTGCAAGCTGCGCTAGACCGCAGATGTGGCTCTCGGTTAATCAACAACAAGTTCGAACTTTGTGCAAAAAGAATACAAACATAAACAATCCAAAAGGAGGAAACAAAGAAAGGCGTCGGTAATTAATACTCTTTATGGAAAGATTGTGTCAATTTCTTGGAACTTTCAGCTAAAGAATATAACCCCTTAAATAAACTTTTAAGTTTGTTAAGGTATTCTGGGTTGTAGATGTCTAAAAAAAAAGGGCAGTACTTATACCAATTTATGACTTAAGCTTGAAGCAGAGATATGGAATATGGATATTTTCTTGAACAATTAATAAAATATTTAAAAAAATCCATATACCAAAGATTACGATTTTTAATCGATATACTTTTGTTGATATTACATATCGAAATTTATTCATTTTAAATATTTTTTAGTTCAACTAACCAAAAATAATATTAAATGTTTGTGATTTGTGATAACTTATAATCCATTTTCCCAAGTGTCAAGTTGTCACGAAATATAATTAATTATAAATTGAATTTTAAAATAGTAAAAATGTTGTGATTCCCCAAATCAAAGTGTTCATTTTTATTTGTGTATTTTTTCCTGTTCTCTTAATGAGACCATCCAGCGGTTGGCAAGCCTTGAACCCGCTTTTAATACCGATCTGCAACAGAGTAGGAGGTATCTTGACGATACAAAGCTTTCCCTGAGGCCAAGATCAGGTTCCTTGACAAACAATGGATCCGTCGTTCGTTCAGCGCCCTGTGTCTCTGCTTTCATTGAGCCCTGCGCAGTGATAAGACCAGCGAATCACCCAATTGATGATGACTCATTAGGCCCCCTGCTACCCCGCCTCCGCCAACAAATCGAAGCTGATTAAACAGCTGCTGGAGGGGAACGCTAACAGCGCAGCGCTGATTACGGCTGCGTACCGTAAACAATAACAAAAGTAGTGCGAATATTTTGGTCGACACCGGCATCGAGTTTCTGCACTTAGAGAAACATATGTGAGTGATAAGTTTAAGCCATCTTTTCTGGCAGGGAATAAGTCGAACTCATAAAATTGTTTATACTGCATTTTTCGCACATCAAAACAATAAAAGAAAAAATGCAGATATTGATTTGACAAGAAAATTTCGATTTGTAAGCTAAAAACTTGGTTTTCCCTGCAGTCCGGTGGTGGCTAATGCCCTCCGCCCCACCGTGACTCAGTTGCGTGAAGTGTGAAAATGCGGCGGCACACACAACTTCCAATCACGGCGTCGGCGGCGGCGGATAAGTAGAGCGCCGCACCAAAGCACACTTGTTGGGTTTCCGCACCCGCATAGAGTTAGGCACCCGGCGGAGGCAGCTCTAGCTGCGGATGCGGGTTGAATGAACCAAACTAAACAAAATCGAAACCAAAAGCAAGGCCCAATTCAATAATCGGCCTTACAGTCGCGATACGCACCGTCCTCATTGTTGGCCACCGATGCACTGCTGCCGGGATTGTCGGCGCCCTCGTCCACAGCGTCCACGGAGCTGTAGCCGCCGCCCTCGTCCTTGGTGATCAGGCTCTGCCTCTCGGGGTCCGCCATGCTGGATTATCGCCGGATTCTTCCGATTCTTCGATTTGTTCTCTGGATTCGCTGGCTGACACTCCCGTTATGGTTTGCTGCCCAGCAAGAAGGTTCCAACTGCAAGAGTTACGAAGTAGAAAAGCACAATTTAGGCGCTGTTGCACATATTTTTCAGCGCCCTGCACTTTTGGTTCTTTGTTCCCGTGCGAACGAGCCGCTGCTGGTGCAGTTCGTCGGTTTTCTTTTCACTCTCGTTTCTACAACGCATCCTCCCTTTTCGGCATGCGCCGCAATTAATCAATTCTCTGCTAGCGGCGAACATAAAGCCCACGCAGGCTGCATTTACCTCTTATACTTTAAAACGGCCTGCGTAGTACTCCTAATTGCCTTAATTGTTTAACATTTTTTGCAATTTGTGAGCTATATTTTACCTTATTTTTGTTGAAAACAGTGTGACCGCTGCTCGAGCGTAGGAAAATACCAGAGATCTAGGCAGCCTAGACTTGGTCGAAAGTAGAAAACAAACATTAAAATACCAAAACTAGGTCCGGAAAGTGGAGCCCTGGTCGTAGCTAACACGTATGATTAAGTAAAGTATAACAATAAATAAATTAAATAAAACAATAATTTATTAGTATCTTATCTATATGATTATATTAACCGTTATATTATTTATTTAATATTCCTTTAGTGAAATATTTTTAAGAGCTTCAGAAACTTCTGTGTACCGCTGACTTGGGGAACCAGTTCAAAAGTTTAGTTGAATCAGTGCTCATTTTTGAACCAAAACAATTCGGCCAAAGTTGATAAAAGAAATGTCGAAATTCAGCAAACAAACGAAAATAACTCACGATTCAGATAACGAAAATCAAGGCGAATCTGTAATTACCAGCAACAACGAATCCGATAGTTCAAGCGACTTCGAAACAAGCAGGAAGCACAAATTACGCCGCAAATCTTCCAGAAATGTTTCATTTCATTATCAAGCGCTACCCATATGCGTTGTGGGTGATAATTCTGTGAAAATACCCGACACTCCGAGTTCCACCAGAGACATTACGCTAAGCTCCGCTCACGTAATCGAAGATAGTTCCGATTCAGAGTTCCATATTTCGAATGATACCAGCAATGATGAACCGGCCAACAAGTCCATAACATTTGCAGCTCGGGCCCTCGAAAAAACAGATTTGGAATTCATTAGAAAAGAGCGCAAGCGAAAGAAGCGACCACGTAAAAGCATATTCGAAGATAAATAAATCAAAACGCACAATTTTAAAACGCAACTGCTGACCAGGGCTGATGCAACCCCATTGACCTACCGCAACTTGGTCACACTACCGAAAAACCAGGGCTGGCTAGTTTGGAGTGGTAAATTTTTACGGAAAAAGAACTATTTACACTGATTTTATGTAAATACAACAAATAAAACGTAGGAAAATTAAGTGCAAAGTGTAAGTAGGACCGGTGGGATGCTGGGAAGCATGAAGCTCCATCGATTTCTGGACAAACTACGGGGGAAAATCGCCGATGATTTCATTTTCACACAGCGCGTTGTTGTATGGGAAACTTCGTCGTAGCTTTGCTTTTGTTGTTGTTGCTGTTCCTGTACCCCCTTTGTTGTTGCTGTTGCTGCAGCTGCTGCGTCAACAGCGACGCACAGAAAATGTTTTATTTAGTTTACTTTTGTGTGTTGATAAACCGCTAGCCTTTTAAGGGGGCCGTGGCAGCAAACACCTGTTCCTAATTGATTTTTCACCGTTTCCACAGACCATTCAACCGAAAATTAACTACGACTTCAACTCCAACAACTGTGTTTTGGCCTTTTTAATTCATTAAAAACGAATCAGCTAAAAAACACAGCAACACACTAGTACCTAATTTGAGTAGGAATACAGCGTTTAAACAATTCGAACGAACGAAATTTTCAAACCCAGTTTGACCACCGATTAGTACACAAAAACGAAACAAAAAACAGGAAACCGCAGAGATGGACTCGCCACCAATGTTCAACAGCGTCGAAGATGAGTGCAGATACTGGAAAGAGCGCTCCAAGCAGTACCACAAAGAGTGAGTGCCTCACGATAACACGGTCCATCTTAACATAAAACCTCTAACTCGCTTGCCCTCCAGGTGGACAGACGTGAAACAGGAGTACGACGAGTTCGTGGAGCAGTCGCGGGAGATGGAAATCGAAATGGACGCCACTCTGGAACAGAAGCAGAGCGTAATCAAAGATCTCACATCCAAGCTCACCATGTTGGAGCGCGAAAACGAGTCCCTCAAGGTGACTAACCTCCTAACCTCACTAAAAAACTATATTTATGCCTTTACTTTCCGTTTAGCTAAAGCTGGACTCGCATGCCATTGAAATGTCCAACATGGAGAAGCAACTGGAGGCAGTAAAGAAGGAGCGAGACACCATGAAGGTGTATCTGAGGCAGCTAGAGCAGAAAAACGATGACCTGGAGCGGGCGCACCGCATCCTGAACGAAAGCATAGAGAACTTCGAGAAAATGCTGGACCAGGCCTACGAGAAGAATGCTCTGCTGGAGCTGGAGGTGGATGAGAAGGGGCTGCTGCAGGAGAAGCTGCAGCGGCTAATGGATGAGACGAGAGGTGGGCGTAAACCGGTCATTTATCTACTTTAATGTTAAAAATTTTTGCTTCCTTGCAGATCTCAAGCAGGAGCTTAACGTCAAGACACGCTATGTCACGCCGACGGTGAACGGAACGGGCGCCACCAACTCGATGAACAGCTCCATGAACTCGTCCACCTCGCTGCCGAACGGCATCGTGGCCAATGGGGAGCTGGCGAATCACGATAACACGGTCGCCACCAATGCCACCAGCGTCAGCGTGAGCGCCCTCAATGGCAGTTTAGTTAATAGAAACGAATATAACCAGCAGCACTCGCTTAAAAGTAAGATACTCAGTTCCTTTAAGAAAACCAGGCACGTCCTAAAACTCACCAAGTCGAATCGCCAATTCAAGCCTTGCGTTTAGTTTAATTTTGTTTTTTTATTTTGCGTTCTTTTCCCCCTTTTTATTTATGTTTTTAATTTGTTAGTTTCCTTTGTCACAGCACCAGCTAGCAGGTTTAAGTTCCTTATAATTTGTAATTACATTGTAATTTATTAAAACTAAGAGCCCCAATCAAAGAGACAAGAGAGTTTGCGACATTTCTAGTAGGCAAATTGTGTGTCTTTTGTGTGCGTTTCGTCAGTGTGTAGCTAGTAGATTCCACCAACTAACCTCTCGACTAACCAGCTGTGTATGTGTGCTTCCTCTTGCAGATCCCGAGAACCAAATCAATGGCAATTCCCTGAAACCCAGCTGTCGCACATCGGCGCTCAACACTGTGGCCGACATGTTGAGAAAATTGAACGTAAGTCCCTCCAAGCGAAAGCCGAAAACTTTTCATACCCAGCATGCCAAAGTCGTCCCCCCTACCTGTGCTATGTTTTAAACCAATTTCCCCGACTCCCCCCACCCACCGCCAGCTTATGTGTTTTTCCGTATATGTTTTTTAGTGGGATAAGGCCCTGTTATGTCCCGACTGCGAAAAGTTTCGCTGCATTTGCGAGCGCTCCGAGCCGCTGCTGCAGCCGCCGCCAACTGCCAGCGAATCGAGTTCGAGCCTCTTTCGTCGCGCCTTTGGCGGCAGCAGTAGCTCAGTGGCCACCAGCAGCTCCCAGTCCACGCCCGTCAGCGACTGCAGCTCCGGCACGGCACCCAGTAGCCTCTCTGCAGGCACGAATATATTCAAACGCTTTGCCGAACGCATGCGCAACTCGCCGGATGCACCCGGCCTGCCATTCTGACTTTGCGCCGATTATAAGCCGGCTTATTTTAGTTGCCCTCCGCTTGCATTTATTAATTGCATTGGTTAATAAATTCAAACATTTTTTGTACCTTATTTGTGCGGTCTTTGTTTTCTTTTTCTTGTGTTTTTTATTTAATTTTAAATTATGTGCAATAGAATTATTAGAATTGCAATATGTTTCAAGGCATTAGTCCCAGTTTGAGTTAAAGGCTACTTCTCCCAGTGGTTCTATATGTGGATTTACCTGCATTTATTTACCTTTTTCTTACATTTTCTCTTCTTAGTTGCCACTCTTGTCTAATCCCAGACACCCTTCTTTATATTTTGATTGCAGGCCATGGAGACGAAACTGAAGACTTACCGGGAGAACAGACCAATGCCGCAGCGTCATCGCTCCTCCAAGGAGTAAACCCATCTGGCAATGGGAGGCCGAGTAAATGGGGTCACCTCGTCATCGTCGCCATCCTCATCACCTCCCTGGGGCGGGATTACTGTTCAGTTGGCTCTGCGTTAGCGATACGTTTCTTTAATGTTACTGCTTAGCGTTAATTTAACTCTCGCTGCCTCTTTATTTATTTTTGACTTAACTTGACTTTGTATAAACCGTTTTGCGATATTATAAATTACACACAACAGTGGATGTTGCCGTTTCCGAACCCAACATGTAACACATGCCTTAGTACGAATTAAGAGTATAATCCTAAGCTAAGTCCCCCCACACTCGGTTCAACCCTTTTGATTTGATTCGAAAAGCGACGATTAACTGACATTAGAAGTGTGCTTAGAGAGTAAGATCAAAGAGCCCCGCAACCGAAGATGCTGTGTCCAAGTATTATACTTCAAGCGGACAACCAATACTCGTAGCGTTTAGGAAAAAGACAAGAAAGCTATCTAACCCGAAATCACCACCCGATCACCTAGTTGTATCGATAGCTATTTTCTGTTTATATTTACGACCGAATATAAATTTGTAAAAATGCGAAATTGTTAACTGCAAATATGTGTATAAAGCATAACAAAAAAACAAAACAAAACAAAACTCCAACGAACAGGCAAAAATATCTATATATGAATAAAGAGAAACATAATTAGTTTAATAGAAACCCAAGGCGCTGCGCACATTCAATGTCAAAATTGCGTATGTTGCAATTAATTAGTTTTGAAAATATTTGAGTTCATTACAGAAGGTGAATGCTGCGTCAGTTCCTATGCCAAGGCCAAATCCAAATCCCCGCCAGCAACAGGGTCTAGGAGGAGGAGGAGCTTCTTCAGAGCTTTTTGCAGGGGAAAGCGGTTTCCCCGCTTTTTCCCTGGGTTTTCTGAAGCTTTCCCGTTGAGTTTCCCCAGGTATTTTTTTTTCTAAAAGAAGGCGAATGGGTAGCAGCATGTACTGGTTCTGGAGCCGACCTTGCTGGCGGAAAGGTCCGCTGGCGGTAAGCTAATGAAAGTACTCTGGTTTTTATAAGCACGGGTTAGCGCCGAGTGCTGGCATTAAGTGAGCAGCAGCATGGATGATGGCAAACTTCTCCTCAGATGGAAAATGGAGGAAAACGGCAAATACAACAAATCCAACAAAAAGAAGAAAAAAATGAAGGAAAAGCAGAAAAATGAAAATATGACACAAGCTTTTATCATACGCAGAGCACTTACCAGGGACAGACTTTGTAGTGTTGTTGTGCTCCACCTCCTCCTGTTTGCTGCTGAGTGCATTGTTTACCGAAGGGAGGTGGCCCAGTAGGAGTTTTGGGGGCGTGGCAGCAACCATAAGCGGATTGGGAATGGCACAATGCAATTGCCGTTTGAAATAAAAGTGAAGCGGACACAAAGGCAGCCCGCACTGCATGTGTGCACGGAAAGCAATTTCGGATATTCTTCGGAATGCCCTGCAGCTTCCACAGAAGTCCTTTTATGATGTAGATTCTATGTCACGGCATTCCATTTATTATCTCTGTGTCTGTAAAGGTAATCTTCATTTAATAAAAATATATATTTACGAATTAAATTAAATACACGTAAGTAAATATAACTAAAATATGCATTTCTTTATTCCATACTAGTCTCATTTCAAATCCAAAGCTTTATTTTCAGTGTGCTAGATAGGAAGTTGAAGTGACCAGTGAAGGTTATCCCTCTCGTTTGCCATTTTTTTTTGTTCAGTTTTTCAAAAGTAATTTGAAGAATCTGCCTCGTTTTTCCCCGAGTCGCTGTCGCCTGATAAAGTCCCGCGAGAGGGACGATCCCTGGCAGCTAATTAACTGGCTGCGAATACAATTTCCCGGCACACACACAAAGGGCAGCAATCAGGAGCCTGGCCCTTCCGACATTACAATAAGCGGGTCAAGCGCCACAATGAACCCAAACGGACGAATCCCTCTCAGCAAACATACACCCAATTGTTTTGGCGTAAAAAAGCGAGTGAACAGCTCGTAAAAAACAGTATCAAAACACTGGCTTAAAGTGGGAAGCTTTCCAAATGCCACACAAAACAGGGTGTTCGGTGGTCCGGGTTAGGCTTCGGTCGGTCTCTGGGCCAAATTATCGCAGTCGTTAAACGGATGGCTTAAAGCCTTGGCCATAACTCGGTGTGTAATTAAAGCGTGTGAAGTTATAGGCTTGGAATAACTTTATACTTGCTTCTGGATTGGGTTAAGTTGTTTTTAATTTTATTACGGCAATTTTGGGTTATTTTTGAGTATACATTCTGGGAGTTTGAGTATCTGTTAAGCTGACATCACAACTTTTTTATCTTAAGTGTTTATTTCTCTTTTGAAGAATTACATTTTGAAAACTTTTTATCTGAATATTTACCTATCATAATAATCCCCATAGTTCCATTGATGCGGCTTATTTCAGATGGGCTAAGATGGTCATGTCATATTTTTGGGGTAGAAGGTTAACACTGCCACTATAAAGAAAGACGAAAGCCACAGAGATGTTACCTTTTCACAAAGAACAAGATTCGAAAAACTACAAAGTATCCCGACGTTAACAAGCAGGATACAGAATTCAGATAGCTTCCTTCCCTTATCGTCTTCCTGAATTTTTGACTGGCAGCTAATTCCACTTCCGGCGGCACCCTGTAAATTGGAATGTGCACAAACTTCACGGCATTTATGCTCTTTAAATATTTAAAATACGCGGCGCGACGTCGTAATGTAAGCACGGTGCACAAACGGAAATAATGATGAGGTGTACTGCCAGTCCTGTGTGTATGCCTTTGTTTTTGGTGCTTCGTTTGTGGGTGCCCGAGGGTCGAGGCCAGGACTATCCAAAGTATAGCCATATAGCCGCATAGCCGGGTATCCTGGGTCCTGCCTAAACATCAAACAAAATCGATATGTGGGCGGTGTATATGATTTTTGGCATAAACAAGCAACAAGCATAGCCACACATACATATACTCGTACCCCCCATACATACATACATATGTCGGGGATGAGGGGTCAATGTTATCGGCCATGGTAGTTTCCTTTTCTTTTCTAAGCGCAGTGAGTCGCAATGACTAAGTAGTTCGTCCGCTTTCCTTCACAGTCTCGCTCGAACTGACTTGCACTTTTCCCTTTCTCTACTTTCTCGTCCTTCTCTACTCGTCATTGCGCCACACTCGGTAGGGAATACTCTCTTCATTCCCACCACGCTCTTTCTTAATAAGTTCTCTTCCTTTTCTCTCGTTATTTATTTTACTCTTCATTTATTTCTATATTCGATACACTTAGAGTCTTACAAATAGTAATTACATCTAACATTTCAAAGTAATCTCCGACACGGCCTTCCTGACTATAACACGACCTCGTGTTGCTTAGTTCTACATAAAATTGGCCTTCAAACTTCATTGCTATATCTTTACAATAATCATAACTTAGCTTCTTTACTCATACTGCTCTAAATAGCTCTTCAAAATCAATCATCTTACACTGCTAGTGTCTTCAAATGTTAGTTTGGCGGGATAATCTTTACAACCATAGAGTACACGCTCTCTTCCGCACAAACCCAACAGTTTGGATATCAATTATGGCTAACACCTTTAGTGTCTTCAAACGTTAGTTTGGCGGGATAATCTTCACAAACATGGAGTACACGCTCCCTTCCGCACAAACCCAACAGTTTGGATATCAATTATGGCTAACACCTTTAGTGTCTTCAAACGTTAGTTTGGCGGGATAATCTTCACAAACATGGAGTACACGCTCCCTTCCGCACAAACCCAACAGTTTGGATATCCATCAGACATTAACTTAGCAGGATATTCCTTCACACAATTTAGAGTACACGCTCTCTTCCGCTCAAGTTCAATCGTCTGGCTACCACACGCACATACCACAGTACCGGACTCTTGCCGCACCTTAGCGACGCTTCACACCATTATACAAACATAGTCCCTGTGTATGGCACCACCTACAACCTCACAATCTTAAGTTACAGATCTCTTGCTTGCACGCACGCCTTATGCAGTGTCGTCAAGCTCTTCTCTCAAATCACATGTCTCTCGCTCATCAGGTACGCCACGTACACTGTCATGAGGATACTTATACATTCTCTTTGTAGTTAATGACTTTAACAAGTAACGGTCCCCATCAAGCAATTCAACAATTACAAATGGTCCCTTAAATTTAGGATCTAATTTCGTCTGGTGTCTTTCTTCGCTTTTCAATAACACATGGTCACCAATTTTATGCTTCACAATTCTAGCATGCTTTTTATCAACTCTTGCCTTATCATACATGGCATTCTTATCAATATTGTCTTTGGCCATTTCTCTAGCTTTGTCCCTATCAATTCGCATCTCTTCATTGACAGTCAACATTCCCATCGGCCTTGCCTCTTTCCCTATCAATAATTCTAACGGGCTGCATTGAGTCACCCGATTTGTGGTACAGTTAATGGCTAATTGTATTTCACCCAATGCTTCCTGCCATGATCGTTCGCTGGTCTCTACCGCCGTTAACATGCCCTTTAATACGCTCATCACACGCTCTACCTGCCCATTTGCTCTGCTAGCACCTGTTGCTACGACATGTAGATCAATGTTGTTTGTGGAACAAAACTTGCGAAATTCTGCACTCGTGAAACACCTTCCCTGGTCTGCTATGATTCTGCTAGGAACGCCAAACGTTGTTATGGAGGACTTCACTGACTGTATGCAATTCACGGTGTCCAAATTCCAGGTGTGGTACAAATGGACATACTTGGTGAATGCATCAATTTGTACAATAATATATTCCTTTTCGTCCTTCTTGCCGCTTAATTTCCCAGTGATGTCAATATGAATAGTATGCCATGGTATCTCAACTTTAGGAATTGGATGTAACTCCAATTGGGTTTTTCCTGACACTGATTTTGATAACTTACAGGTCACACAATTTTCAACAAACTTTCTGACATACTTCGTCATGTTCTCAAACCAATACTGCTCGTATACCTTATCTAGTGTCTTTTTCCACCCTAGATGCATTATGGCCTCGTGAATATGGTTAATAACGGACCATCTAAAATTCCTCGGAACAACCGGCAAACATCGCGTCTTACCATTTCTTTGAATAATGCGATACAATAAACTCTTTCTAATCTCATACGTGCTCGCCAAGTTCTTCTGCATTTCGTCACTATTTAATTGAGTTACAATTTTCGATATGTTCTCATCGCGCTGCTGTTCGGATACAAGCCAGTTGGGAGTGATAGTTGCCAAGTCAACTCTTACCTCAGCAACTTTGCTTGTATCCGTCTTTTTATTTGTCTGTGCTATTACCATGACAGGATTTCTTGATAAGCAATCAACATGTGCCATTTGGCTCCCCTTTCGATATTCTACCTGGAATTCGAAAGGCTGCATGAATGACCACCATCGATGCACGCGCGGAGTCAATACAGCTTTCTCTCGACTTGCCCTGACAGAATTGCAATCTGTGAACACGGTAAACTTCCTGCCACTCAAATAATGACGAAAGTGTTTGATAGCATTAAACACTGCCAATGTTTCGAGCTCATAAGAATGATATTTCGATTCCGCTAACGTAGTGCACCTGCTGTAATATTCAACCACCCTACGCTTGCCATCCACCTTGTGTATTAGCATAGCACCATAACCACTGGCGCTTGCATCCGTGTGTAACTCTATCGGATATTTAGGGTCAAAGATAACTAATACAGGGTCACTGGTCAGCACTTTGATCATCTTTTGGCGAATCTCCTCATGTTTTTCCTTCCATTCAAATTCATTTAATTTTGAAGTGAGATTGTATAGCGGCTTCATTTCTTCTGAAAATCGAGGGACAAATTGCCTGAAGTAGGATGCTAAACCTATGAACTGTCTAAGCTGTGTGACCGAAGCTGGTTTGGGGAGTTGAGAAAGTGCTTGAATTTTTCGCGGGTTGGGCTTTAGTTCTCCATCTTTTATGACGAAACCCAAATACTCTATCTCTGTACGCATAAATTGACATTTTTTTACATTGAAAGAAAACCCAGACTTTGATAGGACACTTAACACTTCATCTAATCTCTCGTATGCTTCCTCTTCAGAATTTGAAACAATTAAAACGTCATCTATGTAGACCACCGCATACGTATTGACTAAGTCACCCAAGGCTTTGACTATAGCGCGTTGAAAAACAGATGACGCGTTCTTCAGTCCAAATGGCATTGCTAAAAATTCATATTGACCCTCAGTGGTTACAAATGCGGTTCTTTCTATCGAATCCGGATGAATAGGTACCTGATAGAAACCACTGGCCATATCTAAGCTTGAAAAATATTTTCCGCCTCGCAGGCGATCAATCTGGTCTGAAATTAATGGCAAGGGATATCTATCAGATACTGTATTTGTGTTTAGTTCTCTATAATCAATGCACAATCTTTCACTACCATCCTTTTTTTTAACCATTAACATTGGGCTAGCGAAAGGAGAACAACTAGGTCTTATTACTTTTGCTTCCAACATTTTCTGAATTTTCTCCCTTACTATTTGCTTCTCGTCCTCACTAAGGCGATACGGCCGCCTCTGAACCGTTTTATTTATATCTAGCAGGCGAATTTGCAATGAACCCGTAGTTACACGCCTACTAGGGATACCGTCAATGAAAAACATGGAATACTTGGCCAATATATCGTTTAGTTTTGACTTATCACTATTACTTAGGTTTTCCTTATTTAACATGTCGTCATCAATTACAGTTAATACAGTTTGGGTTCTATAAATATCAAATCTGTTACTTTCTAACATAACTCCAAAACCAAGTTGAAAAACATCTTGTCCAATTATCATGTCATGTTTAAGGCAATTCTCATCAACTACGTGAAACAATAATTCAAAGGTAAATTCTGAAATTTGTACGGTGGACAGAATTTGCATATGGCTTTTGACAACATTGTCGCCTATGCCTCTCAATACTACCAGATTATGGCATCTCTTTCCGGCAAGTCTCTCGCTGACGCTTCCTTTCACCAACGAGCATTCGGAACCCGAATCGAAGAAAAATGGAAACCGCTCACCAAATTGTTTTGCCGTCCCTTTTGGCTGAAGTACCGCACACACGTCCACTCTCTTCTCGATGCTTCTATTCGCCGTTGCTGTCCCCTTCGTACACGATGAAGCAAAGTGGCCAATGTTGCCACACCTGTAACACGTCACGGCTTGTCTGCTGTTGCTGGCTGTTCTCGTCTCGTTTCTTTCCTCTGCTTTCCTCTTGCGGCACTCCACTATTTTGTGTCCAAGTTTTCCACAACCATGGCATCTTATCGGCGTTTGCGTCTTGAACCTCTTCTTTTCCGGTCCTTGCTCCACTCCAGAATATTCTGATTTTTTTGCGAACGTATGAGCTTTCAATTGTTGTTGTAGCTCCGAACGTGTTTTTAGGTTAGTTGTGAACACTAAATTCTGCAGTCTGGAATCAATTTGTGACGTATGCGCTAGGACCAATGACACAGCAATTTCTTCGTGTGTCATTGCTTTCCACTTGGTCAAGAGTGATGTAACCAAACGGCTGGAATACACGGAGAGGCATTCTTGGGGATTTGGGCGTCCCTTCAGCATGTTTAGCAGCACTGCTGCAGGCGTTTCGTTGCCTTCGTAGCGCTCCATGAACAATTCCTTGAATTGTGCCCAGGTCATTCCAGGATAGCAAATTTGCGATAGCCACTGCGATGCACTACCGTGAAGCGACTTGCTGAGCGTCATCACCAAGGATGCACCCTCTTGCGGATGTTCGGACAAAATCATGTTCGCCGTTTTGCACCATGCTCCTGCGTCTGCGTCGGCAGCTTCGGGGTCGAAAGATGGTAGCACTGCCGCAACGGCACGTGTGCCAGGCGTCGACGTCGATTGTGCAGCTTTTAGAAGTTCTGCAATCACCTTGCTTTGCGCTTCCAGAAGTGTGCGCCAGCCATTATCCGCGTTGCCTTGTAGGGGTGGTGATCCCACTTCTGATGTCGGGGATGAGGGGTCAATGTTATCGGCCATGGTAGTTTCCTTTTCTTTTCTAAGCGCAGTGAGTCGCAATGACTAAGTAGTTCGTCCGCTTTCCTTCACAGTCTCGCTCGAACTGACTTGCACTTTTCCCTTTCTCTACTTTCTCGTCCTTCTCTACTCGTCATTGCGCCACACTCGGTAGGGAATACTCTCTTCATTCCCACCACGCTCTTTCTTAATAAGTTCTCTTCCTTTTCTCTCGTTATTTATTTTACTCTTCATTTATTTCTATATTCGATACACTTAGAGTCTTACAAATAGTAATTACATCTAACATTTCAAAGTAATCTCCGACACATACATAAACCCTGCCGGGGGGGCCGTTTACAGGTTGGTTCCTTGCTTTGTTTGAGCGCCGCAGGACGCTCATTTTTCGTAATGAGTTTGTCTATGTGCGCAGGATGCCAGGATGGCAGTATGGGTAAATACAGCAGCAGCTTCCTGGAACGGCCAGCTACTGCAACAGGCATATCCTTAAAAAAATGTTAGCTTTTTGGCTTTTTTTCCGGTCAAAGGGGGTTGTTCAGGGGTTATGCTAACCAAAGGTTTTTATATTCCATCCTCAAAGTGATGCAGTTTGTGGGGAAATTTATTTAACATAGAGAATATATTTCGCTTAATTGATATCCTTGAATTTGCGTAACACAAAGTCTGAGACTGTTTCTCCATTAAGTTAAATTCTATTCTCTCTAGTTATGAAATACTAAATTATTAGAACAATTAGGAAACTAAATAAAATAATTAAAGTTGTTTTTAATCTTTTTGGACAAGTTAAACACCGATTTTAAACATTTTCATTTAAGTTATACATATTCCAAATTGTTTGTTTGATTTGAAATAAAAAACTTTAACTGTAAACAAAAGATTTTATGTTATTTTAAAACTTGACCTAGTAATTCGTTGTCTTTATTCCCCACCTTTAGGCGCCTTATTTATTATCCTGAAACTTCTACGAACATAATTTGTATTTAGCTTATCCTGTAAAGTATTCTTGCTAGAGCAATAAAATATATTTTATTTACGCGTTGCGATGGGCCAGTAAAAAAGCTCTTTACTCCATCTCCCCCAGAACCTAAAACGCGAGCCAACATGCTGATGGCTGTCACAAAAAAAGCAGAAACTTTCTGGTGAGGGTATAAGTACACATGAAGCGCAACGATTCTCTTTAATACGGAAAATCTTTAAGCACACACACACACACACACACGCTGGCAAGCGGAAAGGGAAGCGCTTTCACACACTAACATACAGAGGGAAATCTTCCTGGGGGGTCCTGCGAGTTCTGTGTGTGCGAGGGTAGGCGGTGCGAAGCTTGTTAGGAGTTGCGCTGTCGTCTGTTGCCATCTTCCTTTCCTGTTGCCATCTTCCGGTTGCCATTACACTGAGCATTCGCTATAAATAATTCGGTCTCGATTTGAAGTGCGAGAGCTGTGATAATGAAATCCCCTTGATTAGCCACCAATTGGAGGCCATCGTGGAGGAACTGCAGCTGCCGAGATGATCAATCAGGCAGACTGCGCTTTTAATTAGGACTACCTGCCCACATGCCACATCCTTCCTCCTGAACCGCAGAGCTCAAGTGGACCTCATTAGTTCACAGTTAGAGATTTAATTTAATTGCATCGCCAGGGATTCGATTGACCTTTCGTCCTTGCTGTCTTCGCGTGTGTGTGTGTGTCTGCATGTGTAAGTGCAAGCGTGAGCAAGTGTCCTGCAATTAGATTAATTGACTTTAAGCCGCACCACCAGCAGCACCTTTATGTTATGTGGATTTTATGCTTCGCTCAATGAATTGCCGTCAGTGGCCTTATAAAAATGGCCAGCGAAATGGGCCAGAACCCATGTGTAAACTGCTTTTTATGACACCGTCGAGAACCTCTCTCTCACCTTTGTCCTGTTTAGTGAATGCCAAATGGCCTCGGCCATTGTCTGCCTCTCCCATTCTGATTTATAACCCAAGCAGACGCACACACACACACACATACATGCAGGACGAAAAGGACACGGCCGAATATGACATTCGCATGTGCTTCACAAATCCTTGAGGACCATTTTTACAACCCCAGCCGGCTGCGACCTGTGTCCTAATGGCCGCCACCGCCACCGCCTCCTCCCTAGTCTGCCTGGTAAATCATGCAAATATATATCAAATCGGCCGCGTGCACAATGGAGCCTGACAATCGATGAGGCATCTCCGCCGAAAGTATTCAAGGGAGGCACATTAATCAGCTTAGGACATACAAGTTCACAGTCGTACTTCTGCGAACCGCGAATCGATACAAAAATTGTATTATTCAGTGGAAATACATCTCAATTATTCTTATTTTGAAACTGGAAAAGTTACAGGAAAGTTATATTAGCAGTCGATTCCTGGGAATTATGAAGGTTTCGAGTAAAAATTCGAATAAGAAATTTAAAAATATATTTACCTTAGTGACCATTTAGTGATAAATGCCAAGGGAGTTTTACCACTAAAAAGTCCCTTTGGACTATAATAAAAACTTTCTAAAATATCACTAGCAGAATTTTAACTGTATTTTCGGGTTTTTGCGTCCTTTCTGCTGTGACAAAAGTGTAGCACACATTTTGGGGCTGCCATTCAGCGAGTCAATTTCCAAACAATGCGAAACTTTGTTCCTCCGCCACTGGGGGGACGGTGTCCTACTGGCTGGTTGGCTGGTCCTGTGTCCCTGATCCGATGTAAGCGTAGACCAATTAAGCGTAAACAAATTTGTTACTGTGGAAATATGAGAACCACTAGTTGCTGCCACCCAACGCCCACAAGAATGGCATTGGAATGGCCCCATTTCCATACCCATCCTTATAACGCCCCCCACCCGTTCATGGTGCGCTTTTGACATTGACAAAGTGGCGGAGGCGGTGCTTTCCGTTCCGTCCAGTTCGGTGGTTCCAAAGCGGCAGCGTATGTAAATATTTTTGGGCTATTGATACGCGAGTGGCTGAAGGATGACCCTGGTGGCCAACAAACTGTTGCTCGGGCTTTAGAACACACCAGGGAATTTTTTCCCCAGCTAATGGCATTTCCCCTACGCGCGCAACAGACTCTTTTCCTTTTCTGGTTAACAAAGACACCCCGCGTCTTTTCTGTCTCACCTCCGTTTTTAGCCAACTTCGTGCTGTCGCCGAACTCCGCCGCCGCTGGCCAAGTAAGTTCTCGAGCTCCAGCTCCAGCTACAGCTCCGGCGGAGTGCTCCAGTCTTCTTGGGGACTTGGCAGCGTGTGCACGTGTCTAACGCAAGGTGTTTCGGTTTGGAATTCGCAATTATAGTATCTCAGAGATACGTCGCCTCAGAGATACAGCGCAAATTTGTGGCGAAGTTTCGCGGGGCCGTAAAGGAAAAGTTGTAAGTACAAAATAATTGGTAGACGTGTTTCGAATCAGATTAATTTATTTCGAATTTAGTTTGAAAATAAATAGTTTACTCACTTTTAAAGACTTTATCTTTGTTGAAAAATATGTAAAGAATTTTCGGAAATTGTCCCGAGTGCTTGTCTCTCGTATTAAATATTAAGAGATTATGATTTATTAATTGTTCATAAGAACGGATGGGAAATCGATTGGAAGTAGGCCTTGAAAAAAACATTTTATGCAAATTTAATCAAGAATTGTAACCACTCTGAAATGGGCAAAAAATTAAAGCGAAAGAAATCTCTTTTACGATTAAATAAAAACCGGAGACGTGGCATGAAAGTGTGACAATCTATCATGGCGGCAAACATAAACGCTTTGCTTTAACGTGTAAATCTCGGCGTTAAGAGGATTACAATGTTTCCAGTAATTATTATCGGGTGTGTGTGTGTTATGTGTGTTTTTGCTTGCCATAAACCTGCTGCAGGGAATTAACTTTGTTTCGATCTAACCACGTTTGACAACTAGAAGCGCCAGCGGAAACGGAAACGGAAGTGGGTGTGTGCAGGGTTGTCAGGGGGTGGCAAATAAACTGTTTTCGCCATTTAGTTTTTAGTGTTCGGTGCCAGTAGTTCGCCTTCTCACTCTTTTCCTTTGCTATATTTATTTATGCGCCAGCATACACACATACACCTACCACTCACACTGCTGCGTGTGCGGGCTAAGTGTGTGTGTGTGTTCTTGTGATACGCTTAATCCGACATTTACAATTTTTGCTTAAGGATTTATTTATGGATTCAATATGTGTACGACGCTTACATATCCGTAGGAGTGCGTGTGTGTACAGAAAGAAAAAGGGCAGAGCTTGCGGTTTTAAAATATAAATATATTTATATATATAAAATATTATTTCTACATTATTTCTATATTACAAAAAATATATATTTACTCACTAGGGATTTGAATTTGTTTTCGCGAACTATAGAAAAAAGTTTTAAAGAGTAAACTAATATGAAAAAACATTTAAATTGAAATGAAACATGTTGTGGCTTAATTTTAAAGAGATTTTAAACCTCCAGTGAATATTTTATTGAATACTTATTTAAATAAAGTTGTTTTTCGATATTTGTTTGTATAATGCATTTTCCATTGATTTACTATTTTTTTTCTTATTTATTTTCTTGGTTTTAATTATATTTTCATCGTATTGAAAGGACTTTTGATATTGTATTGTTTTTATATTCAAAAAAAATTTTATTGTTTTTCCAACAAAAGGTTACTATTCAACACATTATTGACTTTAAAATTAAATTAGTTTTGGTTTAGGTTGTATATTTTTAAGGTTTCCATATGCATTAGAAAAAAAATAACTTGTTTTTGCTGTGTATGCCTTAAGGGTGAGCGTATATATAAAAGTCCGTACCTTTTAGAATTCTTTCAGGACCAATCCCTACTCTAGTCCCCAGCACATTTGCATGCGCAAAAGATGCTCCTCAGCATACACTTATTTTCAATTTTTTTTTTAACTCATTTTGCGCTGCATGCACTCTATATAGTATATTTTGAACTCAGTGCATTACTGCCACGTTGATCCAGAAAAAGGCCAGCAATACAATGGCAGTAAGAAGTTGGTTGCTGGCCAGAAATTTAAATGGAATCTCCTGCTGCCTGGAAGTCGACACAATCAAAAAGCTGTTAAAATGCGCAAAATTCAATAATTTTTTGTTGAAAAATTCTGCCTTATGGGGAAGGGAGCTCTAGTTCTACTTTGGTATAAGAAGAGGTTTCTAAAATAATTGGAAATAGCTATGGCAGAATATACATAAGTCCTGAGGTGTCATTTTTAATCGCTTTATTTTCCTAGTTCGTTTCTTGCATTAAATATTCCCAACTAGTAAAACAGCATTTAAATTGCATTGGATAAACGATGGAGCACAGGTATAAAAGTGAAAGAGAGCTTAATGACTTTCGACTTAATTAATTTGCTGCTGTATAGCTTGTAGCCATTGAAAAAAAGGTTAGAAATCTATTTAAAAGGGGTTTTGTGTAGCAAATAATGAGTTAAAGATAAACTAAAAAAGAAGATATTATACATTTTGCTTACAGAATTTATTGGGATTTTTAAAAATTTACGAAGTGGAAAATTAATAAATAATTTGATTGGCGGAAAGAAATTAAGGATTCCCTTTTGTACAGCTGCTGGAAAACGGAATTGGGAATGGGTTGTATTGAAAAATTGATTTACTTGACATCTGGAGTATAAAAAATGGGAAAATAAATATTGAAAAAATACAATATATTAAATATGTTATGCACTTTAAGTTATTTTATTATCCCTTGAAAAAGATCTCTTTAGAAAAAGATTCTTACGGACTTGTAGTGCATTTTATATACATATCTTTCGCTTGCTTTATATATCTATTACTACCAAACTATAAATTAAAAATTGCAATTAAAAATCAATTATCCTTCACCAAATTAGAAATAGTAAATTTACTTACTTGCTGAAATGTATTAGGTACATTTAACAAAAGTTAAGGTTAAGCGTGACAAACAGAGCCTGTGGAAAGTGATTTAGATTTTATTTAGATTGATTTAGGCAATTATTGATTTGCCCTAATTGACATGTATTTTTCTTGATTACCTAACCAAAGGCCAGGCTACATTTATTAATGGTCTGCAAATTCCAACTGTCAATGGGCTGTGGCTTTAAAGAGACAGATGAGCCGAGATGGCAGCGAATTAAGTCAATATTTCTGAGTTGGCCAAAATGGTATTCATTTCAGATTTGAGACAGCCTGGGATGGGTTGCAGCTGTGACGAAAATTGAGGTAAAATATCTGTTTACACAGCTCAAATGGGGGGCATTGGCCACATGCCAACCATTTATCATGACATTCTAATGACAAATAAATAGAATTTATTTGTTTTATTTCTTCTCCTTGCTTTGCCCGGCAAACGTTGACTTGTGTAAACCGTGGAATAATAACAATAAATTGTTTGTGCACCATTGTATAATTGACACTTGCCTAGGGGCCTTCGAAATATATATAAATATATATATTGTATATATTTGTATATAAACTTTTGCTTCAACAAGTCGAAGACTAAGACTCAATTTATTGTTTCTCTCAATTCGATTTATTTTGAAATGGTTTTCATTGAATTCATTATCGGCGACCAGCTGCAACAGCTTTCAGCTTCGAGCATATATCCCGCCTATATCCTGGCTATAAATAGAAGCAGGACGACACCCACATCCGCATCCTTGTGGATTCTATGTACTAGCACTCGCTTTTTTGGTTTCTGCAGTCATGGTTTCTGCAAACATGGTGACATGCGAATACTTTGCCAGCAGAAGTGCCACCGCCCCTCTTGGCTTTACCACGCCCCCGCCCTTTGTTTTGAGATTCGAGTATAACGCAAACATGGCCAACAAGTGTGTGCACTGGTAAAAAGCTAAAAAAAAATGGGAATTTAATATTAATAAGATATTATGGGATAAACTCTGGCAGCAGCGGCTGCTTTTCCTGTAAATTTTGATGATTTTTCACCGCTTTTTATGAGAAATAAACTAGTTTTTGTTACTTTTTCGATGAAAAAAGTCTTTTTAATAAATCCAAATGATGAAAGGTGTTCTGGGTGCTATATTAACTTTTAGTTAACGAAGAGAAATACTAATAATGACAGCGGCTGCTTTTCCTGTACATTTTGATGACTTTTACCGTAGTTTTTCACTAGTTTTTGTTACTTTCT